TTCCCCCAAACTCTCCTCTCATCTAGGCTGCCACATAACATTGAGCACAGTTCCATGTGCTATACAGTTGATCCTTGTTGGTTATCCATTTTAGATACCAGTTAAGTCACTCAGTTGTGTCAGACTCTTTGCGACCCCATGAGATGCAGCACGCTAGGCCTCCCTGTCCATCACCAACTCCCGGAGCCTACCCAGACTCATGTCCATCGAGTCGGTGATGACATCCAGCCATCTCATCCTCTGTCATCCCCTTCTCCTCCTGCCCAAAATCCCTTTCAGCTTCAGGGTCTTTTCCAATGAGTCAACTCTTTGCATGAGGTGGCCAAAGTATTGGAGTTTCAGCTTCAGCATCAGTCCTTCCAATGAACATCCAGGACTGATCTCCTTTAGGATGGACTGGTTGGATCTCCTTGCAGTCCAAGGTAGGTGGGGTAGAGGTTGGAAAATAGTAACTTGGGAACAAAAGAGAGTTGTAATGAGCAAATAAAGCAAATGGGATTATGCCATTGAAGAGAAACGGAAAGGTTCAGTCTAGTTTCCACAAGACACATGCACTGTTGTCTAAAGATTGAGAGTGATGAAAGCAGAATTGGGGATATTCAGGGAGATAAATGTGTGGGAGAGATTTATTGATGAAACATGTGTTGAACTAAATGTGAAAGTTAAAATAGCAGAAAATGAGGTCCAGGACAGCAAATGGAGGGAAGAGACAGCATGTGTTGGGGAGGAGGAACATGTGGGGAACAGAAAAGTGAAAGCAGAGCTATGATAAGAGTCATACCATGGAGGGTGAGTTAGAACCTGAGTGATTGAAAAAAAAAATCACTTCCTCTGGGCACTAGGAACATACTCCTGGGTCTCAACATCAGGAGTGAGGTATAGATTTCCTTAATTATCCCTGGGGGACTCTACAAATATTTTTTCCTTTATCTTATTCTGTCAAATCAAACTGCTAAATATCGGCATCACTTACACAATGGACATGAGTTTGAGTAAACTCCGGGAGTTGGTGATGGACAGGGAGGCCTGGCGCAAAGAGTTGGACACAACTGAGTGACTGAACTGAACTGAACCCCACTTCCAACCTCACCCCAGCAGCAGGAATGTTACAAATACAATATAGGAGCTGGGTGCAGTCCATTCTTTTAGACTTGGAACTGTGTCTACCTCTCCTCCAAAGAAAAGGCCTAAGTGAAATAAAAATCACCGATACCTTTAGACCCAGTTAAACAGTCAGTTATTTGTATTTATTACTTTCTTTTTTTTCTTTTTTTGGTTGGAGTATAGCCGATTAACAATGCTGTGATAGCTTCAGATGATCAGCTAAGGGACTCAGCAGTACATATACATGTATCCATTTTCCCCCAAACTCTCCTCTCATCTAGGCTGCCACATAACATTGAGCACAGTTCCATGTGCTATACAGTTGATCCTTGTTGGTTATCCATTTTAGATATCAGTTCAGTTCAGTCGCTCAGTTGTGTCTGACTCTTTGTGACCCCATGGACTGCAGCACACCAGGCTTCCCTGTCCATCACCACTCCTGGAGCTTGCTCAAACTCATGTCCATCAAGTCAGTGATGCCATCCAACCATTTCATCCTCTGCCATTTCATCCTCATCCCCTTCTCCTCCTGCCTTAAGTCTTTCCCAGCATCAGGGTCTTTCCCAATGAATCAGTTCTTCATATCAGGTGGCCAAAGTATTTTATAACTTAGTTATTATCTAAAGAATTTTTAGCTCTTTTTGCTCAATGGAACCGATACCCTAGTGAAAGAAGTGAAGTGTGAGGTGCTGGAACACAGAGGAAAATGCACCTATGGTCAATTAATCTATGACAAAGGAAGGAAGACTACACAACATTGGAAAGAAGTCTTCAACAAATGGTGCTGGGAAAACTGGACAACCACATGTAAAGAAAATGAAATTAGATCATTCTTTAACATTGTGCACAAAACTAAGATCAAAATGGATTAAAGATCTAAATATGAGATCCAACACTATGAAACTCCTAGATGAAAACATAGACAGTACACTCTCTGACATAAGTAGCAACAATGTCTTTTTCAATCCACTTCTCAGAATAATGGAAATAAAAACAAAAATAAGCACATGGGACTTACTCAAAAGCTTTTACACAGCAAAGGGAACCATAAACAAGACACAAAGACAACCCACATATTGGGAGAAAATATTTGCAAACGATGCAATGGACAAGGAATTAGTCATCAAAATTTACAGACACCTCATGACTCTTAAGATCATCAAGACAAACAACCCAATCAGCAAATGGGTAGAAGACCTTAAACAGACATTTCTCCAAAGAAGATATAGATGAATAAGAGGCACATGAAAAAATGTTCAACACCTCTAATTATTAAAGAAATGCAAATCAGAACTACAGTGAAATATCACCTCACACTAGCCTTAATCACTATCATGAAAAAATCCACAAAAAATAAAGGCTGGAGAGGATGTGGGGAGAAGAGAACCCTCCTATACTGTTGGTGGGAAAGTAAATTGGTACAGCCACTATGGAGAAGAGTACAGAGGTTCCTTAAAATAACTAAAAACAGAGCTACCATATGACCCTGCAATCCCACTCTTGGGCATATATCCAGAGAGAAACATGATCCTCTTTAGGATACATGCACCCAAGGGTTCATTACGGCACTATTTGCAATAGTTAAGACATGTAAGCAACCTAAATATCCATCAGCAGAGGAATGGACAAAGAAAAAGTGGTACATATATGCAATGGAATATTACTCAGCCATTGAAATGAAATAATGCCATTTGCAGCAACATGGATGGGCCTAGAGATTGTTATACTGAGTGAAGCAAGTAGACAGAGAAAGAGAAATATCATATGACATCACTTACATGTGGAATCTAAAAGGAAACATTACAAGTGGACTCACAAATCAGTTATTTTTAAAATGTGTTTAGATTCAGTTCATCTGCTGATTGGTAATCAACCAATCAAGCATCAAATATTGAGTATCTTAATGTATAAGAAAACTGCTGTGTGCTGCAAAAGATGCAAGTGCATCCAAGCCCTGGGTCACTAATGAACACAGGCAAGAGGCACAATGTAGCTGACAATAAATGGCTTACGTATATAACTTTCTAAAGATGAACCAATTGGAAAAGAAGCTGTAATGTGAAATGATTAAATCAACCACAGAGACCATCTATAATAGAAGACCTATCCTGGGACCTAACATATCTTCCTGGGATTGCAAAAGAAGTGTCTTCTTTAGGCAGATGAATTAGGAATAGTACCTTTCTCTGTTTTCGAATACAGTTGTTTACCAGTAACCAGTTTGGTCAGTGAAAGGCCAACGGGACTTGTGTCTCCCTCTTGTTCCCCAGCCTGAGTAGCAGCCTACAGTACATCTTACTTACATCTCTGTGCAGTACTTCTGTGCAGTGCCTAGAGGAGATCCACAGAGAGAGCTTCTGAGGCTCTAGATTGTCCTGAAAAGGTATGCTAGATGTAGTGTTTATCAAAGTGTGTGCTTGTTCTCAAGAGAGAGACCGGTTTCCTTTAAACCCAAAAGATGTCCACAATATAAGTGCTAAAGAATAGCCACTCCAGACACACAACCTTGCAGCTCCCTGGGTATTAGAGTTGATGGACCTGGTTTTGCATTTTTATTTTTTTTCAACTTACGAACAGAATGCCTTTCCTCAAGTTTCTTAAACCACTCGTTTTATTTTTGTTTTGATATTATTGTTGTTATATCATGTATGGAGTTCAAATATAGATTCTTAATAGGTTTATACTCACAATGACACCTACTCACTCTGGTCACAGCCATTCAAATTAACCTGAATGCAAAAGTTTGATTCATTAGATTTCACTGTTTTGTNAAACAACAGTCTCAGGATTCTAATAGTCCCAGCAGACATGGAAAAGAGAAGTTTTGAGATTTTCAGAGATATAAGTGTTGAAATAGAAGAATTGGACAACTGATTGTGTTCCTGGGTATTGATTGTGATGATAGGATGAAAACATAAAGAACAGGGACAAGACTGCAAAGTTAGTAGTCCGGGCTCAGTTAATTTTGTTCCAAAAAGACCTTTGAAACACAGTGTTCTTTCTTCACTGACCAGCCACCCAGTGTGTGGCATTTATTATCATAAGTCAAGATATAAATATTCATATCCAAGGCAGGAGGATAAAACAGGCTGTAAAAAAGGTGTCATTCATATACCATGTGTGTGTGCATGCTAAGTTGCTTCAGTTATGTCCAACTCTTTGCAACCCCATGGATGGTAGCCAGTCAGGCTCATCTGTCCATGAGATTTCCCAGGCAAGAACAGTGGAGTGGGTTTCCATGGCCTCCACCAGGGCATCTTCCCAACCCAGGGATTGAACCAGCATCTTTTATATCTCTTGCATTGGCAGGAGAGTTCTTCACCACTAGTGCCACCTGGGAAGCCCCACTCCATGGTGAGAGATGTTAATAATGGGGAAAGCTATGTATGTGTTAGGGCTGAGCCCATGGGAAGTCTGTACTTTCAACTTTGCTGTGTGTATACAACTGTTCTTAAAAAGTCGTTGGTAAAAAAAAAAAAAAAAAAAGATGTATCTGGATATAGGCAAGATTTTTCTCTCTCCTCCCAATTTTATCTACATACTTTGTTCTCCCTTCATCTGAAGTCTGAGGCTACTCTTTTAGGATTTCCATTTGGTTCTCTGCCCAAGAGTGAAAATCCCAACACCTATCTCTCTGCAGTGCAGCTAATGGGACATCTAATTCATATATATTCCAAACTTTTCCTATTTTGCTTATCTTTGACTCAGATCTTTACTTTCTATTCTGTCCAGCTTTATTTCCATGAAACTTCATTTGAGTCACTTCTTTGATAAAATCTTAATCCTGTGTCCCTTTCATTGGGCAATCCCTCAATCTGGCTAAATCTATTCTTCTGCCTAGAGAATGTCTGTATCTAAGCAACTGAAATTGTTCTAGAAACCATTGCTGGAGGGAATACAAATTTCTACCATCAATTTGAGAAACAACTTGACATTATCTTTAAACCCATGTCTACTCTAGAAGCAAACAATTTCATTCTTAGGTAAGTAACTCAGAGAAATTACACACATACACTAAGAAATATACATGAGAATGGTCATACAGCACTTCTGTAACAGCAAAAACAAAAGCTATACATTGAGCAGAAATAAATGAATTACATCTCTAAGCAACACTATGGACGTAGCTAATAAACACAAAATAGAAAAAATGAGTCACAGAAGAATATATATAATATGTTTTAAGGCTCAAAGTCATGAAAAGTAAGCAATTTGGGGCTTAGGGCTACATATGCATGTAATGACAATGTATATACATACAACACACATATATAGTCACAAGTGTAGAATATAGGTAGAGTTTAGAAGAATGGCTATAACTTCAAGAAAGAGAAAGAGGAAGGAAGTGCCATGTAATTACTAACAAGATTCCTACCAACTTCTTAACTGTTTTCACTTTAAATATAAGACCGTACACTTCAAGTGGGCCTTCAACACTACCCAGAAGTCTTACACATTTCATTAATTCACTCTTCCACTTATTAAGATAAATATGTATAGAATTTTCTTTCTTCTTCCTTGCCATCAAATCACCAACATACCTCTCCTCACTCACACAGCAGAGAGATGAAAAGTTAAACTAAAAATGGAACAATTCTGATTTTTTTCTTTAAAAATTCCATATTTTTGTTTGATAAATTATCTCCTCTTTAGAAGCCTAGGGGGGAAAAACATATATATATATATATATATATATATATATAAATGAAGTTGAGATAATTGTTAATTCAGATTTGACTGTATGAAAGGAGATTGATTATATTTTTTGCAACCAAAGATGGAGAAGCTCTATACAGTCGGCAAAAACAAGGCCAGGAGCTGACTGTGGCTCAGATCATGAACTCCTTGCTGCCAAATTCAGACTTAAATGGAAGAAAGTAGGGAAAACCACCAGACCATTCAGGTATGACCTAGATCAAATCCCTTATGACTATACAGTGGAAGTGAGAAATAGATTTAAGGGACTAGATCTAATAGACAGAGTGCCTGATAAACTATGGACAGAGGTTTGTGACGTTGTACAGGAGACAGGGATCAAGACCATCCCCATGGAAAAGAAATGCAAAAAGGCAAATGGTAGTCTGAGGAGGCTTTACAAATAGCTGTGAAAAAAGAGAAGCAAAAAGGAAAGGAGAAAAGGTAAGATATTCCCATTTAAATGCAGAGTTCCAAAGAAGAGCAAGGAGGGTTAAGAAAGCCTTCCTCAGCGATCACTGCAAAGAAATAAAGGGGAGCAACAGAATGGGAAAAACTAGAGATCTCTTCAAGAAAATTGGAGATACCAAGGGAACATTTCACGCAAAGATAGGTTCAATAAAGGACAGAAATGGTATGGACCTAACAGAAGCAGAAGATATTAAGAAGAGGTTGCAAGAATACACAGAAGGACTGTACAAAAAAGATCTTCATGACCCAGATAATCATGATGGAGTGATCACTCACCTAGAGCCAGACATCCTGGAATGTGAAGTCA